AAAAAAAAAAAAAAAAAAAAAAAAAAAAAAAAAAAAAAAAAAAAAAAAAAAAAAAAAAAAAAAAGAAAATGGTGCCTATACACCCCAGATTATTATTCTTTTTTTTTATTTTTATTTTTTCTTTTTATTTTATTTTATTTTATGAATATTTAAATCAATATTATTCAATTCTTCTCCTTTTTATGTATATAACCACTGGTCATGGGCCGCTACTGCTGCTGCTGCTGCTGCTGCTGCTGCTGCTGCGTAGTTGGGGAAAAGAGGCACTGGCTTGTTGCAAATACACTGCTGCTAAAGCTTCAATGCACAGCCGAGCAGCAGCAGCAGCAGCAGCAGCAACAGCAGCAGCAGCAGCAGCAGCAGCAACAGCAGCAACAGCAGCAGCAGCAACAGCTGCTGCTGCTGCTGCTGCTGGTGGTCGACTGTGACACAGTACAGCAGCAGCAGCAGCAGCAAATAAGAACAACCCTAAAATAAAAAATAAATTAATTATTCCTTTTATATAAATTAACTCCTTAAATCCTTATTTACCCCAATTGAGTCCAGACAGCAGCAGCAGCAGCAGCAGCAGCAGCAGCAGCAGCGGCACTCAACGAGAGAGCTGATGGTCGGCCCCCCTCAACCTCCTTCCATCGATAATATTTTTATTTATTTATTTATTTATTTTATGTATTTATTTTTATTTATTTATTTATTTAATTATTTATTTATTTAATTATTTATTTATTTAATTATTTTTATTTATTTATTTATTTATTTATTCACTAATGAGCTGCCTATACACCCCAACACTATCCATCTTAATCGATTAATAAAACATAACTATAATAAAACCCTCTCCTAAACCCTAAACCCTAAACCCTAAGCCCTAAACCCTAATTAGGGAGTAGATCATAGCCACACTTCCTTAGACGTATCTTCTATGGTATCGAACCCAACACTAAACCCTAAGACACCTCGTCAAACCCTAAACCCTAAACCCTAAACCCTAAACCCTAATAATAGGCTATACAGGAGGAGGAGGGGGGCATTTATTGTCAGCAGCAGGTCTGTCTCTTTTTGTCTCCTTTTTTGTCTCCTTTTGTCTCTTTTTGTCTCTTTTTATTTCTTTTTATGTATTTGTTTATCTCCTTAATAATAAAAAGAAGAAAAAAGAATTAAAAGAAATTAAAATTAAAATAAAGTTAAACAAAAATAACAAAACCCTAAACCCTAAACCCTAAACCCTAAACCCTAGAATCTACAGACATAAGAAGAGGACTGCGTAACATAACGAACCCAACGGAAGGGATTAAACCCTCCTTGGCGCTCAGCAACACGCAGATAACGAACCTGCAGCAGCAGCAGCAGCAGCAGCAGCAGCAACAGCAGCAACAGCAGCAACAGCAGCAGCAGCAAGTTGAGTAGGAGTTAGATACAAAAAACCGATCGCCGATAAACACATAAACCCTAAACCCCAAACCCTAAACCCTCCTAAACCCTAAACCCTCCTAAACCATCATAAACCCTCCTAAACCCTCCTAAACCCTCTTAAACCCCCTCCAACCCTAAACCCTTCTAAATCCGAAACCCTAAACCCTAAACCCTCCCCGGTCTCCTTAGTGGTAGACTAGATATATATAAGGTGCATCAAACCCTCCCAAGCCGTGGTAAACCCTAAACCCTAAACCCTAAACCCTACATACTTGTAGACTAGATACATTATACATAGGTACCTCAAACCCTCCCAAACTGTGCTAAACCCTAAACCCTTGTAAACCCTAGACCCTAGACCCTAAACCCTAAACCCTAGGACTTACTTGTAGACTAGATACATTATACATAGGTACCTCAAACCCTAGGGTTGCAGGCCCATATTCATTCTTAAGAGGAGAAGAAGAAAAGTTATTAAATGTAAGACGAGCCCTAAACACTACCTCGCACCCTCCCTGTATACATAAATATATTTATTTATTTTATTTATTTATTTTATTTATTTATTTTATTTATTTATTTATTTATTTAGTTTATTTATAGGTAGATAGCTACTTGGCTAGCTAGATAGACATATATAAATAGATAGGTAGGTGGCTAGCTAGCTAGCTAGCTAACTAGCTAGCTAGCTGTGTAGCTAGCTAGCTGTGTAGCTAGCTAGCTAGCTAGCTAGCCAGCTGTGTAGCTGGCTAGCTGTGTAGCTAGCTAGGTGTGTAGCTAGCTAGCTGTGTAGCTAGCTAGGTGTGTAGCTAGCTAGGTGTGTAGCTAGCTAGCTGTGTAGCTAGCTAGCTGTGTAGCTAGCTAGCTGTGTAGCTAGCTAGCTGTGTAGCTAGCTAGCTAGTTATATATATAGTAAACTGTCTACGTAAGAGGAGAGAAGGGAGATATAAACCCTAAAAAAGGGTTTAGGGTTTGGTGTTTACCTGCAACTTCTTAAGAAGCCATTGAACTCGATGCTCAGAAGCAATAAACTCCCCACTCTGCAACGCACAAACCCTAAACCCTAAACCCTAAACCCTAAACCCTAAACCCTAGAGGAGAGAAATCCCCTAGAGGCGCACAAAAGGAGACAATAAATAAATGAATAAAAGGAGACAATAAATAAATAAAAGGAGACACTAATTAATAAAAGGATAGACAGTAACTAATTAATTAATAAATAAAAGGAGACACTAATAAACAAACAAAATAAAAAGGAGACACTAATAAATAAATTAAATAAATAAATAAATAAATATATAAAAAGGAGACACTAATAAATAAATAAATAAATAAATAAAATAAATAAATAAATAAATAAGGAGAAAATAATTACCTGTGTATGTATAGGAGGTAATACCTCCAATGCAGCAGAAGTTGTCCCCTTAGGGACACAAAAGGAGACACTTAGATTAGCAGCACAGCATTGCTCAGGTAAATCAGCACGGACACGAAGAGTTACTTCCGCCTATATACGCATAAACCCTAAACCCTAAACCCTAAACCCTAAACCCTAAAAAAATATAAATTTTTAATTAGGGACAAAAAAAAGGAGACACTTAGATTAGCAGCACATTGCTTAGGTAAATCAGCACGGACACGAAGAGAGAGTTACTTCCGCCTATATATACGCATAAACCCTAAACCCTAAACCCTTATAAACCCTCATAAACCCTCATAAACCCTCACAAACCCCTATAAACCCCCATAAACCCCTATAAACCCCTATAAACCCCCGCAAACCCTCATAAACCCTCCTCTACCCCCGTAAACCCTCGGTAAACCCTTTTATATACCTTTCCATTAGGTAGATCTTGTACTTGAGGGAATACCCTAAAAGGTACAGCATGTATATTTAATAGACGGTAATTCATAAGAGTAAATTCACCAATTGGGGGTTTAAATATTAATAAACGCTCGTCATCAAATAATGAATAATCTACACCTTCATGAAAATTACAACGATCTCCTGATAAACCTACACCTGTATATACATACATATATTTATCTATTTATATATTTATTGTTTTATTCATTTATTTATTTAGGAAGAAAGAGCAAAAAAAGATGTACATAATGATGTATTATTCGCTTTTTTTCGTTGAGGGAAACGTGGTGGAGGCGGTTATTAGGGTTTAGGGTTTAGGGTTTAGGGTTTTGATATTATTAGTAGTAATATGTATAAGATATAATATAAGACGAGGAGGAAGGGACTATAAATAATATTTATTATGTGTTTGTATAATTAGGGTTTAGGGTTTATAAACCCTTACTCTCCCCATCGGTGAACCATGAAGAATTAGGGTTTAGGGTTTCGAAATTAGGGTTTAGGGTTTAGGGTTTAGGGTTTATATACCATTAGCAGAAATGGGAATGTGGTCTGTTAGGGTTTAGGGTTTAGGGTGCTAATATAAGAAGAGGAGGGGACTCTAAATACTACGTCTGTGTGTATAATTAGTGTTTAGGGCTTATAAACGGTAAAAAAGCTCGGGAAGGGTGTAAGATGAGAAATTAGGGTTTAGGGTTTAGGGTTTAGGGTTTATATACCATTAGCAGAAATAGGAATCTAATCCGTTAATGCTAATTTAAGAAGAGGAGGAGACTCTAAATATTAAATGTTGTGTATAATTAGGGTTTAGTGTTTAATGTTAGTAAACCTTTAAAATCTCGACACTGATATGGAATTAGGGTTTAGGGTTTAGGGTTTAGGGTTTAGGGTTTAGGGTTTACGTACCATTAGCAGAAATAGGAATCTGATCCGTTAATGCTAATTTAAGAAGAGGAGGAGACTCTAGATAAGACTTCATGAGTATACTTCCCTCTAATGATGCATGCAGTAGTCTGCTGTCTCCTGCTAGTACTACGGATATTTTTTCTATAACATCTACAAATATTTCGCTACGTCTTCTTGCTGCTGCTGCTGCTGCTGCACTACTACTGCCACTACTACTACTATTTGCTGCTGCTGCTGCTGCTACTGCTGCAGCAGACACAGGACGACGGCTTGCTGTTGATGGCATTGTCTTAGGACTTGTTGTTACAAATGATGGCAAAGACACGTGCTGCAGCAGCAACAGCAACAGCAACAGCAGCAGCAAAATAATCCTTAGAATCAGCAGCAGCAGCAGCAGGAGCAGCAACACAATCAGCAGCAGAAGGAGCACAACTAGCAGCAGCAGCAACAGCATGAATAAGATGATCAACAGAAGGAATTGAATAAATAATTTTGTGTTTGTGTATAAACACAAACAACACCAACAGCAGCAGCAACAGCAGCAGCAGCAGCAGCAGCAATAAATACACCAAAATAACCGTTAAAACAGCAGCAGCAACAGCAGCAAAATCAGCAGCAACAAGCAGCAACAAGCAGCAGCAATAAACATGAATAAGATGATCAACAGAAGGTATAGAATAAATAAGATGTTTAATATCTTGTGTTTGTATATCACCACCACCAACAGCAGCAGCAGCAACAGCAGCAGCAGCAGCAGCAGCAGCAGCATGAATATAACCATTAGAACAGCAGGAAGAACAGGAGGAAGAACAGGAGGAGGAACAGGAGCAGCAAAAGAATAATAAAAAGGAGGAAGATAACATACAGTTTTATCATGAATAATATGATCAACAGAAGGTATAGAATAAATAAGATGTTTAATATCTTGTGTTTGTGTATCTTGTATAAATCCTTTAATACAAATTTCATCAATTAATTCATAAATTAACACAAAATTACGTCGTAATATTTCTTCATTTAGTAACCCGCAAAAGTCCTGCAGCAGCAGCAGCAGCAGCAGCAGCAGCAGCAGCAGCAGCAGCAGCAGCAGCAGCAGTTGTAGTAGTAGGAGTAGGAGGAGTAGGAGTAGTAGGTAGTGCAGCAGCATGCAGGAGGAAGAGGGAGAGGGAGAGGTGTTATATGGGTAGGGTTGGATGGGATGGTGATGAGTTAGGGTTAGGGGACAGCAGCAGCAGCAGCAGCAGCAGCAGCAGCAGCAGCAGCAGCAGCAAGTGGAGCAGCAAGTGGAGCAGCAAGTGGAGGAACGAATAGGGTTAATTAGGGTTTAGGGTTTATTACTACAGATAGTTTTAACAATTCTTAATAATAATTCAATAAGAAGAGTAGTTGAAACTATTAGGGTTTAGGGTTTAGGGTTTAGGGTTTAGGGTTTAATACCTTAATAGCCTTAACAATTCTTAATAATAATTCAATAAGAAGAGCAGGGGAAGGGTTTTGTTGGGTAACAACAACAAAATAAATATTATTTCTTTTTAGGTAAGCAAAAGACAATCCTGCTGCTGTAAATATAGGTGGGGCTTCGTTGCTTCCTGCTGCTGCTGCAGCTGCTGCTGCAGCTGCAGCAGCAGCTACTGAATCGGTACATAACATACTGCTAGCGCTGCAGTTCATGCTGCTGCTGTTGCTGCTGCTGCTGCAGGTAGATGATACGTCACCGTCTGTAGATAGACCTATTGCATCCTCTGCTGCTGCTGCTGCTGCTGCTGATGCACCATCTGCTGCTGCTGCTGCTGCTTCCTGCTGCTGCTGCTGCTGACCCCAGAAACGAACCTGACGTAAGAAAACCTCCGAGGCACCGCGAGGAATATCATGAAGAAAATCACGACTTATTAGACAATCCCCTCGAGGGGACAGAATAAATAATTGACTCAACATCCTAAACCCTAAACCCTAAACCCTAAACCCTAAACCCTAAACCCTAGGTCCTAGATCCGAGATGGAAAAAGGAAAGAGGGAAGACAATTATGGGTTTATTAGGGAAATATAATTAATATAGACATCAGCAAGAGGTATTAATTGACACACAAACCCTAAACCCTAAACCCTAAACCCTAAACCCTAAACCCTTGAGACGAAAAAAGACCGGGCATGAGGGACCTCAACTAGATTAAACCCTACAACCATTTACCTCCATTAATTAATTATAAAACACTAATTTTAATTTATAACATAAACCCTAAACCCTATACACCATAAACCCTAAGACAAACCCCCCTCTATTAGCTGCATGCACAGGCACGGGGCTGGCGGCTCGATCGTATATGCTCACACTAAACCCTAAACCCTAAACCCTAAACCCTAGATAATTTACTGCATTTGTCACGTTTATTGGTTTATACAGGCACATTATCCGCTAAAGCGGAGTAACTCAGCCCTAAACCCTAAACCCTAAACCCTAGAGCCCAGTGGCTACACAGACGCGAGCACAGCAAATCTAGGGTTTATATGTAGGATATAGATTATTAGGGTTTACACCATGTGGTGGTAAGAAACCCTAAACCCTAAACCCTAAACTAATTCTTATAGGGCTTATATAAATAAAGATTTTTAGGTTAGGGTTCACACCAAGCGGTGCTAAGGAAACCCTAAACCCTAAACCCTAAACTAATTCTTATGGGACTGCTCATTACTATTACCCCCTATTGGCCTAATTGAGGGTTTCCCGTCTAGGGTTTAGGGTTTAGGGTTTTCTACTCCACTGTGTATTCTACGGTTTAGGGTCTACCCTGTTGTTGCAGAAGTTACTGCTACTACTACTACTACTACTACTACTACCACTACTACTGCTTGCTGCAGCTATTCGTATCCTTGCTGCTGCTGCTGCTGTTGCTGCTGCTGCTGCTGCTGCTGCTGCTGCTTTCGAGTGTAGCGAGTTCAACGTATACCTCATCCCTTTGTCCTCAAGTTTGAACAAAGCCCTAAACCCTAAACCCTAAACCCTTTTAAAACAAGCGGGGAAGCCGCGCCTCGCATCTGAAGCGCTGCAAGAAAAAGGGTTTAGGGTTTAGGGTTTAGGGTTTGGGGCATCGCCTCCGCCTATGAGCAGAAGCAATAAACCTATTATTGACTAGTCTTGCCATTAGGGTTTAGGGTTTAAATTGTATCTGTAAGAAGTCCCTAAACCCTCAGCAGCAACGCATGCAGCTGCAGCGCATGCAGTAGCAGCGCATGCAGCAGCAGCACTAACTTCGGGTGTCTAGGCAGCTCAGAGGTGCCTATACACCGCAAATATTCTTAGTCACCACTTGCACAACCGCCACAACCGCAGTGTATACACTGCACAACCTAAAAGGAAAAAAAAAAAGAAAATAAAAAGAAAAAAGAATAAAAAGAAAAGAAAAAGAAAAGAAAAAAGAATACAAATAAAAATAAAATATAAAACCCTAAAATATAAACAGCTGCAGCAACAATAACAACCGATGCTGCAGCAACACGAGGCCAAGCAGCAACAGCAGCAGCAGCAACAACAACAGCAGCAGCAGCAACAGCAGCAAGTTTAGGGTTTAGGATTGTTGAGTGTTGTATGCTAGTGTTAGGGTTTAGGGTTTAGGCTTCTTGTCTACTCTTGTGTGTGCCTTTATTAGGGTTTAGGGTTTAGGGTTTGGGGTTTACACTTTTATCCGATGGTAATTCATGTTTAGGAACTCTAAAGATGTCATTTTTTCTGAATTTTTTTAGGGTTTAGGGTTTAGAGTGTCTTGATTAGGGTTTATTGTGTCTGAATTAGGGTTTAGGGTTTAGGGTTTACTCTTTTATCTGGAGGTAATTCATGTTTAGGTACTCTGCATATACAAGTAGTACCGAAGTTAGTAGAGGAGGTTTGTATACACCGTAAACAGCAAAGTCTCTCAAACCCTTCTTTCCTCCATTTAGCAATTAATCGTGCATCTGCCCAACCCTCACGAACACAATAATCGTATAATTCTCCTGATAAAAATATAAACACACACAATTAGGGTTTAGGGTTTAGGGTTTACAAGGTCTTAAGAGGGAATTAGCAAGAAAAACGGGAAAAAACGACATCCTGGGACCCCAGATGCACGCAGGGGTTTAGGGTTTAGGGTTTAGGGTTTGGCTAGGGTTTAGGAACTGGGGCTTCAGATGATAGGTTGGTGGGGTTTCGGGAAAGGGTTTAGGGTCTAGAGATTAGGGTTTAGGGTTTGCGCAACAGGGTAGACGGCACTGCCAACTCTAACAAGCCCGCAGCTTTTCAAAACCCTAATTCCTAAACCCTAAACCCTCGTCTCCTAAACCCTAAACCTCCCTTGCCTCCCTCGCTATCCACCAACAGCTACCTACCCCTCCCATTCCCAATCCCTTAAACCTTAATCCCGTAAACCCTAAACTCTACAAAACCCCTAAACCCTCGACCCTAAACCCCCGACGCTAAACCCCAAATCTTCACCCCCGAAACCCTAAACCCTAAACCCTAAGCCCTTGTACTTACTGGAAATAGCCTTTCTTTTATAATAACATTCATAGATATATCTAGATCTTTGATGGTGTATACGGAAGACAGCCCAAGAAGATTCACATTTCCTTTTTCCTTCATGAGGCTCGTTCTCTGCTGCCCTCATTTGCCTCTCAAATTCTAATAAAGGGGGAGAAATTAAATCCCATCCTTCTGGGGGTTGGGCACTCCCGCTTAGCCGCACTCGCGGCATCTTGATATCTAAACCCTAAACCCTAAACCCTAAACCCTAGCAGGGTGAAAATCCGACGTAAAACGTTCAATTTATAAAGATATATGAAGAAAATAATGGTAAAACACTTATTAGGGTTTATTATGACTAGGGTTACAACAATGAATGCTGGGATTATATTATGCCCGCTAGGGTTTAGGGTTTAGGGTTTAGGGTTTTCACCCGCAACGAGAAACCCTACAGAGGCAGAAGAAATAAATACATAAACTAAAAAAGGAAACAAAGAAAACAAAACCCAAAAAAGAAACCTTTTATGATTAGAGTTTGCCTTTTAGGCTGCTGCACGGTTCTAGGTTGAGGGTTTAGGGTTTAGGGCTGGGGGCCCCTAGGGTGGGGCTGAAGGCTCCTCTGCTGCATGCTCCGGCACTGCTGCCTCGAGGGTTTAGGGTTTAGGGTTTAGGGTTTAGCCTTTCGTGCTCGTCTGCGAGTGTGGGACATACATCTTTTCGCTGTCTTTTTGTTTGTTTTTTTGCTGCGTTTGGGGGCCGACCCCAAACACAACGGCCCAATCCCTAAACCCTAAACCCTAAACCCTCGTCTCCTGGGGAGGCGGGCGCGACAACTCTCCCTGTACAAAAGCTGCATTTTTTTGCACGCTTAGATCCAAAATCCTAAACCCTAAACCCTAAATCTTTCATTTAAGCGGTTCCCTTGGCCATAGCCTTCCCTGCGGCAGAAATCGCCCGGTAGCCCGAATTCCCGTGGCCCGAACCCCAAAACCCTAAACCCTAAACCCTAAACCCTAAACCCTCGCAAATGCATCATCTAAGGCAGCAGTGGTCGGATTTGATGGGATCTATTGATGATCCTAATCAATCCTTTACTGATGAAAATGTTTGCAAATATTTCCTAACCGGCCTATGCCCGCACGATCTTTTTGAGAATGAGGTACGTAAACCCTAAACCCTAAACCCTAAACCCTAGTTGTGGATGTGTATATATGCATATATGATATCTAAAAACCCTGAATCGATGCACGAGTCGATCTTTTGCAAACCCTTCTAAACCCCTCCTCTAAATCCCCAAACCCTAAACCCTAAACCCTGATTATGTTTACATCATGCTTTTTTTATGTATAGATGGAGGATTTAGGTAAATTAGGTCGTATAGATCAATCCATGGCGGTTTCTGTTGAGTTAACTTCCTTACAAACAAGAAGAGCAAAGTTATTATTTAGGAATGCAGAAGGACAACTTACACAAAGACTTAGGCCTTGTGATGTATGCGGAGCATTACTATCAGGTACGATTTAAGAGGGTTTAGGGTTTATGAGGGTCTAGGGGTTTTGAGGGTTTAGGGTTTAGGGTTTGGGATTTTCGGGAAGCACTGAGGTTCAGGAAGCTTGGTTAAACGTAGAGCGGCAGGATGGATGCAGATCGATCTTGGGTTTTTTTAGGGTTTAGGGTTTAGGGTTTAGGGTTTAGGGTTTAGGGTTTGTGTGCAGCAAATGATACGGATAGACGTCTTGATGAGCATTTCTCTGGTAGAGTTCATCTAGGGTTTCAGAAATTAAGAGATGCACTAAAAAAGAATCTTGAATATATTGCACAGGCTCCTATGCCTGATCAGGACTTGTCTCGTATTCTTATCAAGTACGCTCCAGGGTTTAGGGTTTAGGGTTTAGGGTTTAGGGCTTCCAGGGTGGGGGGTTGATGTTGTCGATTTTTTTCCTTGAATTTTTTTTTATGTTGCTAGTTCGTTTCGCTATTTGTGGGGTTTTTTTAGGGTTTAGGGTTTAGGGTTTAGGGTTTAGGGTTTAGGGTTTAGGGTTTGTTGTGTGTTACAGCATGCAAGAACAAGAACAAGTGTTTAAGCAGCTACAAGCACAAGAAGGAGATAACTTCGATATAGGGAGTGTCTTTGCTGCAGCACAGAAGACGCAGCAGGATCTGTTTGGTCTCCATCAGCAGCAGAAGCAGCAGCAGCAGCAGCAGCAGCAGCAAAAAAAGGATGCAGAAAAGGAGGAGCAGCAAAGGCTCCAGGAGCAGCTGCGGCAGCAGCTGCTTAAACAGAAGCAGCAGCAGCCTATACCTGATTTCCTATTGAAGCAGCGGCAGCAGCAGCAGCAGCAAACAGAGAGAGGAACAGATAGAAGGAGCCCTAGTATAACAAGAGAAGCATGTCCTGCTGCTGCTGCTATTGCTGCTGCTGTTGCTAGCCGCAAGGCGGAGAACCCTAGCCGCAGCAGGACCCGCAGCAGGAGCCTCAGCAGCAGAAGCAGCGGAAGCAGTCGCAGCAGCAGAAGCAGTCGCAGCAGCAGCAGAAGCAGAAGCAGCAGCAGAAGCAGGAGCACCAGCAGAAGCAGCCGCGGCAGCAGAAGCAGCAGCGACAGCGGCAGCAGAAGCACCAGCAGAAGCACTAGCAGGAGCAGGAGCAGCAGCAGAAGCAGAAGCAGCAGCAGGAGTACCAGCAGAAGCAGGAGCAGCAGCAGGAGCACAAGAAGAAGCAGCAGAAGCATCAGCAGGGACACGGAGAGACGCAGCAGAAGCATGCAAGCAGACAAGCCAGAGCCTGTAGCCACCACCACCAGCAGCAGCAACAGCAGCAAACTGCTTGCTGCAGCAGAGGCAGTTAACAACCGTAATGGCAACGCCAACGTAGAGAAAGTCCCCGCTAACAGCGTCAACAACTCAGTTATCAACAGCAAGCCAAGCAGCAGCAGCAGCGGCAGCAGCAGCAGCGGCAGCGGCAGCAGCAGCAGCGGCAGCAGCAGCAGCGGCAGCAGCAGCAGCAAACCCAGCAGCAGCAGCAGCTCCACCTCCACAACGAAAACGAGCAGCTCTAGCAGCAGCAGCAGCAAAACTAGCAGCAGCAGCAAACCCAGCAGCAGCAGTGGCAGCAGCAGCAGCAACAGCAGCAAACCCAGCAGCAGCAGCAGCAGCAGCAGCAAGCCCAGCAGCAGCAGCAGCAGCAAGCCAAGTAGCAGCAGCAGCAGCAGCAGCAGCAAATCCAGCAGCAGCAGCAGCAGCAAACCCAGCAGCAGCAGCAGTGGCAGCAGCAGCAGCAGCAAACCCAGTAGCAGCAGCAGCAGCAAGCCAAGTAGCAGCAGTAGCAGCAGCAGCAGCAAGCCAAGTAGCAGCAGCAGCAGCAGCAAGCCCAGCAGCAGCAGCAGCAGCAGCAGCAGCAAATCCAGCAGCAGCAGTGGCAGCAGCAGCAGCAACAGCAAACCTAGCAGCAGCAGTAGCAGCAGCAAATCTGGGAGCAGCAGTAGCGGCAAGTCTAGCAGCAGCAGTAGCAGCAGCAAGCCGAGCAGCAGCAGCAGTAGCAGCAGCAAGCCGAGCAGCAGCAGCAGCAGCAGCAGCAAGTCTGGCGACAGCAGCGCAAAAAAACGCCCGGCTGAAGAAGAAGGTGGCAGCAGCTCGAAGAAATCGCGCGAATCCAGCAGCAGCAGCAGCAGCAGCAGCAAACACAGCAGCAGCAGCAGCAGCAGCAGTAAACACAGCAGCAGCAGCAGCAGCAGCAGCAAACATAGCAGCAGCAGCAGCAGCAGGAAGCCCGTGAGCAGCAGTGGGCGGCAGCACTAAATGTGGAACTTTTGGATAGCTGCAGCAGCTAGCTGCTGCTGCAGCAGCAGGAACTAGCAGCAGCAACTAGGTGCAGCAGCAAGCTGCTAGCCAGGTCGTGAGATTGCTGTGGGTGCAGGTACCCCATAGCACCACATACTGTTGCTGCTGCTGCAGCAGCAGCAACAACAACAGTACTAGTAGTAATAGTAATAGTATTAGTATTAGGTGGCTTTGTGTTTTTGTCTCGTATTTCTTTTTGCTGCTGTTGCTGCTGCTGCAGCAGCAGCAGCAACAGATGTTGCGTATTGTGTCTCCTCGCACGCAGAGACACCTAAAGTTTAATGAAGCTGCTGCAGACCCACCTGCCTGTACACCCCAACTGTCAAGATGTCTGCTGGTTGCTGCAGCAGCAGCAGCAGTAGTAGTAGTAGCAGCAGCAGTTGCTGCTGCTGCTGCTGCTGCTGCTGGAGCTGTAGGCTTCAAGTGTGTAGCAGCAAGGGACCATTTCTCATCTCGCTCTTGTCTCTCACCTCATCGCATGCAGACGTGCAGCACTGCTAGCCAGCTAGCTAGCTAGCTAGCTAGCCAAGTTGCTACCTTTGTGGCTAGCTAGCCAAGTAGCTGGCCAAGTAGCTAGCTCGCCAGTTGGCTGTGTAACAAGCCAGCTGTGTATATAGCTACCTGGAGTAGCTAGCTAGCTGAAGTGGCTAGCCAGCTGAAATAGCTGGCTAGCCGAAGTAGCTAGCTAGCTGGTGTAGCTAGCTAGCTGGAGTAGCTAGCTAGCTAGCTGTATGAAGGACTGGCTAGTCCTGTTGGGTGCAGCGCGTACAGCAGCAACTTTCTTATTTGTGTGTTTTAATAAGGGTTTAATAAATATAAATAAATAAATAAATATAAATAAAAATAAATAAATATAGATATATAAATATAAATAAATATAAATAAATAGTAGTAAATAGATTTATAGATAAACATAAATATAAATAATTAGTACACGTGTTAGTCTCCTCTTGTCTTACAGGGAGGGCGAGGGTTTGTGGTGGTTGCTGAGGACTGCACAAGGTGTAGAGGAGGCACACGTAACCAGTTGAGGGTTTAGGGTTTAGGGTTTAGGTGTCTTAAAGGGGGAGCGTGGGGGGACGCGCGGCAAACTTGCATTAATAATAAGTGCTGCTGCTGCTATTGCTGCTGCTGCTACTGCTGCTGCTGCTGCTACTGCTACTGCTGCTGCTGCTGCTGTGGGGTTAAGTTGTCGCCAACACCATACAGACCGCAAACCCTACTCTAAACGCTAATTCTGTCTCTAAACCCTAAACCTCCTCCTAAACCCTAAACCTCTGTCTAAACCCTAAACCCTAGAGGGCGAAGTGTGTCCTCCCAGTACTTCTTGATCTATCGAAGGAATAAGTGTTAATATTAAGAGGTAGCAAGGGTATTAATATCTTAGACCCTAAACCCTAATCTTCTGTCGTGCATCGGCCGAACTCTAAACCCTAAACCCCAGACCTGCGCCGTGCAAAAACTGCCAAACCCTAAACCCTAATCAAGGGTTTATTTCTTGTTATCTCCCTTTTATTTATATTAAAAAAAATAAAAATAATATTAAAACATAAAATAAATATAATTTTATTATATTTATGTTTAATAAGACAACAAGCAGCAGAAGCAAAACTAAACGAGCATAGGAGCCGCCGCCGCCGCCGCTGCAGCAACAGCGGCAGCAGCGACAGCAGCAGCAGCAGCCGGAGGCGCAGCAACAACAGCAACAGCAGCAGCAGCTCCTGCTGCTGACGCTACAGTGCATGCCTTCAGAATCTTTTTTTTTGGCGCTAATTGAGCTGAGGAGTAGACACAGCTATCTCCTTGTTTTTTAGACACCATAAAACTTTAGCAGCAACAGCAGCAGCAAGAACAGCAACAGCAGCAGCAGCAGCAAAACGCGCAGCAGGAGCTGCAGCAACAGTGTTGGGGCCGTCTCACATTTTGGGGTGTTATTATAATGAGCCGTTTTGGGTACAGAAGCAGCAGCAGAAGCAGTATGCTGCTGCTGCTTGCTGCTATTGTTGCTGCTGCACTGGGGTGTATGTACACCCCAGCTGAGGCAGGACTATACAGCAGCAACGGCGCTGTTAAAGTCTTAAATGCTGCAGAATTTAAATCACAAGTTATTAACTCTCATGATCTTCATCTTGTTGAATTCTATGCAGACTGGTAGGCATAAACCCTAGACCCCCCTCCTAAACCCTAAACCCTAAACCCTAGCAGGACAATAAATAATATCATGGTGTGTCTGGGCATATATAGTTGAGGGTTTACGTTGTGATTAAACCCTAGACATGAATCATACGCATTAGCCCTGATGTAGTGTTTGGTTCTATGTATTATATACGAATTAGGGTTTAGGGTTTAGGGTTTAGGGTTTAGGGTTTGCATGCAGGTGCGGGCACTGTCAGAGATTCGCTCCTGAGTACGAAAAAGTTGCCAATGCATTGAGGGGTTTAGCGACTGTTGTTGCTGTTAATGATGAGAGTATAATGAAGGACTTTGGGGTTACAGGGTTCCCTACAGTTATGGTTGTTGTTGGTAGAGGTATGCAAACCCTAAACCCTAAACCCTACAAATATCCAAGGCAGACACTCTAACAAACACCAAAATATGCACCAAACAAACCCTTAACCAAATAGTCTATGAAGCAAAAACCCTAAACCCTAAACCCTTGTTCCAATAGACCCAGAATCTTCAGTCTAATAAACCCTAAACCCTAGGTCTTGCAAACCCTAAACCCTATTTCTACAGTTACACAGTTTTATCTCGTTGGGGGCATGCAGGGGTTATTTGATGTGTAATTCTTTGGATATTAAGGGTTTAGGGTTTAGGGTTTAGGGTTTATGGGTGAATTAGGAGGAAATAAACCCAAGACATTCAAGTACGAAGGCAGCAGAGACGCAAACGCTGTTCTTGATTTTGTTGTTACGCATATTGGTAAACTAGCAAGAGCAAGATTAGCAGGTAAACCCTAAACCCTAATTCTAAACCCTAAACACTAATTCTAAACCCTAAACCCTAAGTCGTAGTTTAAGTCCTCATTCCGTTTGCAGGAGACAAAATCTGCGGTTGTTGAGCTCCAAGGGGGTAGATAGGGGTCAGAAGGGCATAAGAATAGTTTTTTAGGGTTTAGGGTTTAGGGTTTAGGGTTTACTTGCGTGTTCAGGCAAGATCGAATCCGGCACCGGCAAGAGCAGCGGCAGCAAGACCAACGGCAGCAAGAGCAGCAGCAGCAGCAGCAGCAGCAGCAGCAAGCCAAAGAGCAGCGGCCCATCGGATGTGATTGAGCTGAAGGACACCAACTTCGAGAAGTTGGTTATGCAAGACGAGGATAATGTCTGGTAGGGTTTAGGATTTAGGGTTTAGGGTTTATGATAGTTATACGGCATCATCCCTTATGTATCCTAACACTGTTCCCTTCCTCCCTTTTCTTCTCCCTCTAATCCCTATTATTTGTTATTGCTTATTCTTGTTTATTATTACATATTAGGGTTTGTTAGATTTAATTAGGGTTTAGGGTTTAGGGTTTAGGGTTTAGGGTTTACGTTATTCAGGTTCGTAGAATTCTATGCCCCATGGTGCGGGCACTGCAAGGCGCTCGCGCCAATTTGGGAAGAAGTGGCGACACAATTAAAAGGAAAAGTAAAAGTTGCAAAAGTTGACAGTACAACAGAGCAAATGTTGGCGACGAAATTTGAGATTCAGGTCCGTAAACCCTAAACCCTAAACCCTAAACCCTAGAAAATTGAAATTTCAACAGAGGATATGTACATATATATATTGACATTCGCATGCGGAGGACAACAACACCGTCATTTGGTGCAGAGGGAAAGTTTTACGATTAAAAATAACAAAGTATACATTATATTGTATAAATTGCGCATTAGGGTTTAGGGTTTAGGGTATAGGCTTTGGGGTTTGAGTTCAGGCTTTCCCTACATTGAAACTCTTCCCTGTCGGACCCAAGTCAACTTCTGTCGTGAAGGAATACGAAGGACCACGAACAGCTGATGAAATTGTTAAATTCGCCATGGAATTCTACGGGCAAGCAGGAATTAGGGTTTAGGGCTTAGGGTTTGAGTCGCGAGGGTTTCGGTTTTTCGCCGTTGAAGAGGGCCCGTCGTGTGTGCAGCTTTTGGCTTTATTTTTAGCCGTAGTTGTTGTCGCCAAGCACTGAGTGTTGCATTTGATTTGTGTCTTATTTAGGGTTTAGGTAGGGTTTAGGGTTTGTGTACAGGGCGAAGGCTGAGGCCGAGCAGCTCTTAAGCGAGGAACAGTTTAGGAGTGAGTGCGGGGAGACGTTATGCATACTGGCATTCCTTCCTGATATATTGGATAGCCAGGAAGAAGGAAGAAAGAATTATCTGCAAACCCTTAATCAGGTCGTTAAGGCATCTATTACAGTACCTGTCAAGTTCTTATGGCTACAAGGTGTGTATCCTAGGGTTTAGGGTTTAGGGTTTGGGGTTGGGGTGACCTGGATGCAGACCGCGGGAGGAAAGAATAGCACGCAGACTGTACCCACAGACGTAGTAGTAGGCATTACCTTGCTGGAGAAATAGGGTCTAGGGTTTAGGGTTTAGGGTTTAGGGTTTGTGGTTTAGGTGGAGATAACTTCGACTTGGAGGAGCAACTGCATTTGGCCTTCGGATGGCCGGCGGTTGTTGCCGTACATTTGGCGAGGGGAAAGTTCTCTGTCCACAGAGGAAACTTCACAAGGGTGCGTGAGGGTTTAGGGTTTAGGGTTTAAGGAGTTTCACGTGGATTAGTAGGAAGAGCGCAGCGGGAAGGTGGCGAGAGGATATGGTTTAGATTCTTTGGTGGTTTTGAACAGTATATGCTTGCTTGCAAGGTGTAGGGCTTGGGACTTAGGGTTTAGGGTTTAGGGTTTGGGTTGTTTTTGTTGCTGCAGGAGAGCATCAACTCCTTCTTGCACCAACTTCTTGCAGGTCGTGCCCCTGTGTCTGATTTGCCAAAACTAAAAACCCTAAAAACAGCGAAGAAATGGGTACCATCAAAGGCACCAAAGGATGAGCTCTAAACCCTAAACCCTAGCAGTTGTGTTTTGCAAGGTTGCTCCGAAGCGGTGGTCTCAGGTTGATGCCGCTTACGGACCAGCTGCCAGGGTTAGCCTGTAAGGGTTTAGGGTTTAGGCGCTGAACTGTGTGTTGCACAGTTCGGACGTAAACCCTAATCCAACAGCGAAACCCCAAAACCCTAAACCCTAAACCCTAGCGGTTATGCATGGAGTGCCTCTTTAAATGAGAGGTTCATTTTCCTGCTAACCATAAAATTGGTTTTCTTAGCTTCTTCATCTTCAGGCTGAGTCTATTGCTGCTGCTGTTGCTGCTGCTACGATTGCTGCTGTTGCTGCTGCGAGCTACTGTTGCTGCTGCTAGTTAAGGGGGGTTGAACCATTGCTAGGTACCGCATCGACGGGGAGTTTACAGTTAGGGTTTGGAGCTTACAGTTGCGATGTAGGGTTTAGGGTTTGCCAGTTTAGTCGGGGTTTAGTTGTAGATGACCTCCATACCTGCTAGACATGTTCCTGGGGTTTAGGGTTTAGGTGTGGATGTTCTTTAGAGCTGTTTAATGCGGTTGATTATCTACGGTTTAGGGTTTACGCTCGGGTATTCCCTAGAACTATTTAGCGCTGGTTAGGGGTTTAGGGTTTACGGTGTATGGTTCCGTTCTGCGTATTTCCTAGAGGTGTTAGTACTTACTCACGTGTATTGCTAGGGTTTAGGGTTTAGTTGTACTGCTGGTGTCTGTACCGTAATTTTAAATACGGAGTTAGGGTTTAGGGTTTAGGGTTTAGGGTTTTGCTTTTGAGTATACGGACCACCGGGAGTTCGGCTGCGCCGACTAGGCGTCCAAACCCTCAGAAGCCCTAAACCCTAAACCCTAACAAGCACCGAGTACCGACCAGCCTATTCCCCCGTTTTTAAGGATAAAGAGAGCTTAATAATGTTTTTTTTATGGTTTAGGGTTTAGGTTTTAGGGTTTAGCGTTTGTGTTAGAAGGCGACCCCATCTAACTCTGTGGGGTCGATGGCAGAAGGGTTTGACCTTACGCCTGAGTGTTTCGTCTCTCCTAGGGTTTAGGGTTTAGGGTTTGGAATTTTAGGGTTTGAAGATTACCCATGTCTTTCTTTCTTATGCCCGCGAGGCACATTTAGCCTTCGAGGGTTTAGGGTTTAGGGTTTTGCCCACCGCATTAATACCGTCGGCTGCAGCAGTAGCAGCAGCAACAGCAGCAGCAGTAGCACAGGCGTCTGCAACTCCACGGTCGTCAACATAATCCCAACAGCAGCAGCAATAAGAGCAGAAGCAGCAGCAGCATTGCTGCAACAGCAGTGCTGCAACCGCAGCAACAACAGCAGCAGTGCTGCTGCTGCAGCAACAGCAGAAGCAGCATGATCGTCCCACAGTAGGTACCGCAGCAGCTTTTGTTGCAGCTGTTGCTGATGGGGTGGTTAAAGGCCAAGACACAGCAGCACACGCTGCTGCTTCCTCTGTTACTGCTGCTGCTCCTACAGCAGCAGCTGTTGTATGCCTCTAGCCGCGAGATCGTACTGGCCCGCAGCAGCAACAACAGCAGCAGCAACAGAAGTTTTTCGCTGCTGTCTGCAGCAAAGGGCCTGCGGCAAACCTGTTTGCCCCCATCAACCAAGCAGCAACAGCAGCAGCAGCAGCAGGGGCAGCAGCAGCGGCAGCAGCAGAGTTTTCTGGCTCGACGCGGTCGTTTCGTGCCGCTTGCTTTTCAAGATTTTCCCGATCTGCAGTTCAATACAGCAGGCAGCAGCAGCAAAGGGAAGCGGGGAGTGCTGCAGCGCAGCAGGGAAGAGCTGCTGCGTCTCCTTGGCTTCGGCAGCAGCAGCAGCAGCAGCAGCAGCAGGCCGCAGTTTGAGTCTCCCGTTGCAGCATTCTGGCGTAAGTGGGTGTTAAGTCTTCCCCCTGTAAGTCGCGCATATCTGCTGCTATGTGCATGCACTTGTGCTGCAGCAACAGCAGCAGCAGCAGCAGGACATCCACTACCTCCTTCTTTATTTTATTTTAATATAAATAAAATAATAAAAGAAAAACAATTATGGCGTCTTTTTCTTCCTCTCTTCTTCTTAGGGGAATTGTCTCTCTCTGCTGCTCTTTCCTTCTCTTTTGCTTATACTTACTTCCCGCTGCTAGAGAGACACTGCAGCAGCAGCAGCAGCAGCAGCAACAGTAGTAGCAACAGTAGCAGCAACAGCAGCAGACAGGATGGTGAGAGCAAGGAAGCCGACGACGAAGACGGGAGTCGCCATGACCGTGACCTCACCGCCAGCAGCAGCAGCAACAGCAGCAGCAGCAAGAGCAGCAAGAGCGGTCGTAAGTTGTTTATGAAGTTATTAGGGTTTGGTGCGGGGTGTACGTACACCCTAACGGGTTTAGGTTTGCTGCCTGCAGCGCAGCAGCAGCAAAGTTTTTTTTCTTTTGTTTTGTTCTTATGGAGCTTTATAGACCCCACAGGAACAAATGATGTCTTTGGTTTAATTAGCTGCAGCAACGGAGCACTGCCGCTGCTGCTGCTGCTGCAGCACTTGCTGCTAGATGGACAGCTTGTTCAGGCAGATCTATGGGGTGCTGCAGCAGCTATAGCTTATCTTGCTATACACCCCAAACCCTAAACCCTCATCATAAACCCTAAACCCTTGTAAACCCTCGCCAACAAACCCTTGGTTATTTATTCCCTAATATACAACAGAAACAGCGTCGACAGCTTCTGCTGCTGCAAGCACTCGCACCTAGATCTGCTGCTAATGCTGCTGCTGCTGCGGTTGCTATTCTGCTGCTGTTGCGGTTGCTAATGCTGTTGTTGTTGTTGCTGCTGCTGCTGCACGAAGCAGCAGCAGCAACAACAGCACAGCAAGTGTTTACACGCATAAGAGAGGGCCGCGGCTATCGCGCAACCCACACAACAATTACTGTCACCTGCAAACAAACAAACCTCCAGCTCCCTCCAAACCCTAAACCCTAAACCGTAGCGACTCAACTTAGTGTTTTTTAGGGTTTAGGATATAAGGGTTTTAGTTTAGGCTTAGTTTACGGTTCCCAACGGTTTATACATTTATTTTCTAGGGTTTAGGGTTTTAAGGACTTTGAAGGGTTTAGGGCTTCCAACAGTTGCAAAGGGTTTACGCCTTCTAAAGACTCTACTGAGGACTCTATATTTAGTGTTTAGGGTTTAGGGTTTAGGGTTTAGGGTTTACGTCGTCGACGACGTTGCCCTCTTCATCTATCCAACGTTTGAAGGCTTCGTAAGCCAATCGATCGGCCGCATCTTTCATTCGCTGACCGTCATTGGGGGATCCCGTTATATACTGCAGCAAACCCTAAACCCTAAACCCTAAACCCTAAACCCTTGCTCTCCCAGAACAAGCCAAAACCCGACTTCCCTAAAGGAAAAAGGGAACCCCATGAAGGCTCGCAACTACTATGCCACAAACCCTAAACCCTAAAAATGCACCATATCCCCACTAATCCACTGGCACGTCTAAGTGTAAACTCTAGTAACCCTAAACCCTAGGAACACTCACGCTTGAGACTATCGTGACGGCCTCTTCGCTGCTAATAAATTCCCAAATGCCGTCACTCGCAACAATGAAGAAGAGAGAGCTCTCGTCCAGAGGAACCTGCGTATACACCCCAAAACCCTAAACCCTACTCTGGGCAATCTAGGGTTCGGCGGGAACCCCTGTTTGATGTGCTACTCCGTCTTTTATGGCTCTACTCATTGCTAGACCCCAACCCCAAAACCCTAAACCCTAAACCCTAACCTGTGCAATTTCGGGTTCGGATACAACTCCTATTTGGTGCGCAATTCCGTCTCCTATGGCTCTACTCATTGCTAGACCAGGGAAGAGATGATCTTTAACAAATACGCGGTGTGGTATATCACAATCAAGCCGCAGCACCTCTCCCCCTGCATGCATGCATGCGCAACAACAACAAACCCTAAACCTTAAACCCTAGGATGCAAAAGCAGAAGCCTGGATCACGCGTAAACCAGAACCCCTAAACCCTAAACCCTCACCGGCTGCTTCGATTCTCTTCTTCTCTGCTGGGTTTGTCGGCTTGTGGTCGACTGTGGAGAAAGCTGGTACGATGGATCCTGCAGCAAACAACCACCCCTAAACCCTAAACCCTAAACCCTAGAAGTCAAATTGTAAACCCTAAACCCTAACAGTTCACTTGCGAAAAGCGGAGTGAAAGAGCGTCACCACCCAAAAACCAGACCCCTCGTGTGATAAAATTCTTTAGGGTCTATTTAGGGTTTAGGGTTTAGGGTTTACCGGAGGCATCGACTTTAGCTAAAACACAGCGAGAGTCCCCTACAAAGGAGACAGTTAATTTGTCTCTTTCGTGCAGCACAAGAGTTGCTGTCGTGCCTGACAAAGAAGAATCCACCGATTGCTCCCCTGAACAAAACTCTAATAGAGCCTTGTGAGTCTGCACACACAAACCCTAAACCCTAATAAACCCTAGTAAACCCCAATAAACCCTAATAAACCCTAAAAAACAGCAATAAACCATAAGTTGTAGATCCGCACTGTTCGGCCTCGGGCGCGGAAACCCGCAACCGAAACAGGTGAGTCTTCTGCAAAACTAAACCGTAGGAGGAGAATTCAGGGTTTAGGGTTTAATTAGGGTTTAGGGTTTCTTACGGCATGAAATGCGCCTCTTAATGCAGCTCCTACATCCTCACGAAGAGAAGGATGAGAAAGAAGAAAAAATAACAAAACACGATGAACAAAGTCTGATGCTTGATGGCCACAAGGGCCGTGACCATCAAACACTCCGTAGACCCCAAAAGAAGAACACCTACGCGCACAATCACAAAACCCTAAACCCTAAACCCTTTTTTATACACAAAATAAAACATTACTAGCCTAGCCAAACACCTTGTACTACACCACTAATGAAGCTGCGGCAAACAACAAGCCCTAAACACTAAACCCTCACTACTCTAAACCCTAAACCCTAGACCCTACCGAATAAAGGAAAAGTCATCCTGATTGGGGCTCTCTGGCTTTAAACCCTTCTTGCAAGAACAGCCGACGCCAATCTGTGCTTGGAAGTCGTCAAAGTGTTCGCACTCATCACTAGCCGCCAGCTGCAAACAAACCCTAAACCCTAAACCCTAGAATCCAAACCCTAAAGCCAAGATCGTAGACACCCAATCCTCCACAGTTGCTGCCTTCCAGTGCACAAGGGAAAAAGGGATGCAAAATCCCCTCTGCCATAACCAGATAGAAAATGAGTTCCTAGAGTTTAATGGCTAGGTTTTAGGGTTTAGGGTTTAGTGTTTAAATACAACGCAGTCCATCCGCTTGTTGTCGAACCCCCGCTGACGGTCTCGCGACGGAAAGCCTAAGGATGAACAGCAAGGACTTAGCTTCAAACCCTAAACCCTAAACCCTAAACCCTACAGAATCCAACCCACACTGAACCTGAAACCCTAAACCCTAAACCCTACCTAGGACGGCGCATCGTGATTTATCAGGAATATCTGCTGTGAAGTGTTCAAGAAGGAATTGTGCGGTTATTTCTTCGAGATGTTTGAATGCCTCTTCTGGGGGAAAAGGAAGAGGGGCAAATAATAAGGGTAATTCCGGGCAGAAACCCCTCTTGCTGCTGCTGCTGTTGAGCGTTTCTCCTACAGTAGCAGCACAACCTGCTGCTGCTGAAGGAGCATCAGAGCGAGACCCTGGGGTCTGCTCCCTCTCTCTAGACAGCTGCTTCCATGGAGAGCTGTCACGCGGCGTTAGGAGGCCCGCTGCTCCTGCTGCAGGCGATGCTGCTGCTGCTGCTGCTGCTGCAGCTGCTGCTGCAGAAGGCGACTGTTTGCTGCGCTCGCTGTCGTTGTTAGACAGAGATGACAGGGATCTAATTTTGCTGCCGTCTGTCTTTGTTGTTGCTGCTGCTGTTTTTTGGGGTGTATGTAGACCTCGTATGTCGTTAGGTTTGCTGCGGCAGCTGTCTGTGCCGTCAACTGCTGGTGTTGCACCTGTTGCTGCTGCTGCTGCTGCAGCAGCAGCAGCAGCAGGACTCGAGTTCGAACCCCCTTCAGAATCCTCTACAGCAGTAACAGAAACAGATAAACGACGCCGCTGCCTCTCCTTTAAACTTTTATGCTTCCTTGCTGCTCGATCTACAGCAGAAGTGTTGCTGCTGCTCGCCTGCTCTGCCTGGTCTGTTAGATCTGAATCTGCTGGCTGCTGCTTGTGCTGCAGCGACAAAGCACGGTCTTGCTGCTGCTGCTGCTGCTCGCGGTGATCCTGATGATGCTGCTGTTGAGGATCCTCGTGCTGCTGCTGCTTCTGCTGCTGGTCGTGCTGCTGGTGCGGCTCGCCCGTGCGGCTCAGCTGACTCTTCTTACTCCCACAAGCTCCCATTTTGATCCGGCACGAAAAATGCTGCTACTGCTGCTGCTCTTGCTGCTGCTGCTGCTGGCTGCTGGTTTTGCACCTGTTTCTGTGCAGCGATTGCTGTTGCAGCTATTGCTTCTGTGCTGTACGTGCAGCTGTTGACACCGCAGATGTTACCGTTGCAGCTGGGGCTGCTGGCACTTGGGCTGCTGTTGCTGCTGGAGCCGCTGTTGTTGCTCCTGCTGCTGCTGTTACTGCTGCTGCCTGTCTTGGCAAGCAACTGTCGGTTCTTGGAAAGCAGCAGTAGATGCGCACCAGTAGCGCCACTTTTGAGTCTGCCGCTGCTGCTGCTGTTGTTGTTGCTGCGTTTGCTGCTACTGTTGTTGCTGCTGCTACATCAGCCGCAAACGCATGCAACGTGCAGGAGCTTCGGCTGCGTTCTGGGCCAGTCGCGCATCTCCTGCTGCAGCAGCAGCTGCAGCGCCCAAGCGCAGCTGCATGCTGCGTTTGCTGCAGCAGCAGCGATTCTGCAGCAGCAGGTGCTGCTGCTGCAGCTGATGAGGTTGCGCTGAAGTGACAGTAACTCACCGCTCTCCAGTGCCGTTGAGCCGTGGAGTGCTGCTGCAGTGAGGTCTGGCTGCAGGGCTTGCTGCCGCTGCTGCAATTTTGACCCTTGCTGCTACTGCGTATGACTCTGGTGCAGTGGTTAGTGGTGCTGCTCCTGTTGGTGCTGTTGTTGCAGTTGTTGTTGCTGCTGCTGCTGCTGGTGCAGCTGCTGCTGAAGAACTGCGGCCTTGATCTGCTGCTGATGCGCACACACGCACACACCGACGTCTAAAATGTTTTTTGTCTTTAATTAAATGACAAAAATAAATCTATTTAGAGGATTCCCTAAGGGAGAATCTTCTGTTGCCGCATGCCTCTGGGAAGCGGCGATCCATCGCTGCTGCTGCTGCTCGTCCTGCTGCTGCCGCTGCTGCTGCTGTTGTTGCAGTTGTGCTGTTGCTGCTGTTCCTCACCAGTTGTTGCTGTGCTGCTGCCGTAGTTATAGGAAGATATCTTTATGGATGTTATATATTTAAAAGGAAATGACTTGCATTAATGTTTTTTAACTGCTGATGCTGTCTTTCCCTGTTTGCTGCTTGAATGAATGACAGGCAGCAGCAGTAGCAAGACCGTCGTGCGTGTAGTCTTTTGCTGCTGCTTTGTAGCATATATAGCATAATTGGTGGATCCAACAGCAACTAAAAGGAAAAAAGGATAAAAAAATGTTTATTTTAATTCATTTTAATTTAAATAATTAACGTAGGAAAAAGCGGTACCGGCAGGGATCGAACCTGCGACCTTGTGGTTAACAGCCACACGCTCTAACCGGCTGAGCTACGGAACCCTGACTCTCCGTCTGTTCTCCTTTGCTACAAGGGGATATTTCCAATTTATTATTCTTAAATAGTAGATTAATAAGGGTTTTTATTTTTTATATGCTTGCATTAAGGGGTTAATGCAGGAAAAACAGCAGAAGACAACATAAATGCACAATCTACTTTACGGAAAAACACAGGGGAACAGGGACGTGCCTGATGCTGTGACTACTCCCCCTTGCGACCCTAAACCCTAAACCCTAAAACGTAAACCATAACTTTTTAAAGAAATTTGTTCTGTTGATAACGGGTTGCCGTTAACTTTGGGGTTGAGAGCGCAGCCACCCTCGGGCCGAGGGTTTAGGGTCTAGGGTTTGGTGTATACCGTAACGTGCATGTTTCTATGCATACAGACATTGAAGACTCGAGGACAAAGGGTTTAGAGTTTAGGGTTTTGAATAAGAGAAATATTTCCTCAGTGGCTTTAATATAGTTATGTGAAGTAGGCTTCTGCTGCTCTAACCGGCCCTTTCGATAGACGAAGGAGATGACATTTATTTCCCTTCTTTGTTCTCCTCTTTTAAGTGTTTCTGTGTCTGCTGTTCCATCAATTTAGGGCTAGTGAATACTTTTATAGAGTGAAGCTGCTGCTTTAGGGTTTAGTGTTTAGGGTTTAGGGTTTACGTTTGGGACTCCGGTTCGTCGGCGGTCCCACAGAAGACGGCAGAGACAGCGCTTAGCGGAGGAACGAAACAGACGAACAAACAATATTCAGAAACGAAGTAGCAACAGCAGCAACAGAAACTACAGCAGCAACAGAAGCTACAGTAGAAGAAGGCAATACGAAGGCAGCGAGACAGCCGCGCGACATATAATAGCAGCGGGAACGGCTGCTGCTCTGCAGCAGCAGCAGCAATAGCAACAGCAGCAGCTGCAGCTGCATTAAATTCAACAGAGGAAATTTTAAAGTTTTTGTTTTATGCAGTTTGCTGAGCTGCCTATACACCCGAGCATTGTTCCCTCTAGCGGGTCGCGCCGGTCTGTATCGACTGAGCACCGGGGGGACGGCAGCAGCAGCAAGAACAGCAACCGTTGCAGCAGCAGCAGCAGCAGCAATTGCTGCTGCTGCTGCAAAGTCAACGACAATTTAAGGGGAAAGTGTGTGTGTGACGCTTCCGTAGCTGTGCCGTCCTAATCCCCGCCTGGTGCAGCAGCCTGCCCGGCATCAGCAGCAGCATCAGCATCAGCAATACGAGGTTAAGACCTGAGCAAAGGTAGCAGCAGCAGTGGTAAACCCATTAGTAACAGTGTCAGCATAAATGGGGGGCCCTCGAAGGTTCATCAGCGGGGAGGAGGCTGTGGAAGCCGTGCTGCCTGTGCTGCATTTGAGGAAACCACTGGACAGCAGCTGCACCAGTAAGAGCAGCAGCAGCAACAACACTAGCATGGAGCCTATTGACGGAGTCAAGGCCTCTTGCGTTAGCGGCACTAAACTGAAACTTACGAGCAGCTCTACGACGGGCAGAAGCAGCGATGCCAGCAGCAGCAGCAACAGGAACAACAGCAACAGCAGTAGCAACACACCCAGCAGCACCCGCAGCACAGACACACCTAGCAGCAACAGCAGTGGCAGCACGAGCCCCATAAGCGAAAGCCTTAGTCCTGTTAGGAGCCGCACTAGGAGCTCAAATGCCAGCAGCAGCAGCATCAGCAGCAGCAGCAGCACTAGCAGCAGCAGCACTAGCAGCAGCAGCACTAGCAGCAGCAGCACTAGCAGCAGCAGCAGACGGAATATTCATCGTGGGGGTCTGCTGCTGCAGCATGCATCATCGGGCAGCAAGACGGAGACAGAAGCAGTGCAGCATGAGGGCGGCGTGCTGTTGCAGCGGCAGCAGCAGCCAACTCCCATCCTGCGGCTGTCTGTAAACCGCAGGACAGGAGCTGTCTCTCGCAGCCAACACCCAGCAGGTAATACACCCTAAACCCTAAATCCTAAGTATTCGTGAACTGAGCAGTAGACTCTTGTGAGGTCTAAGGGTTTAGGCATTAGGGTTTGGCGCTTCCCTATTCGCAGGTCACTCTTCCCGCTCCTCCCTCACCCTCGCTCCAGCCCGCCTCCGCCTCGGCAGTAGCAGCAGAAATAGCAGCAGCAGCAGCAGCACGGTGTATCTGCAGCACGCTGACTATCGCGAGCAAATAGAGACAGCAGAAAACGGGAATTTGAAGTGGGGGCAAAAGGAGGCAAACGATGGAAGTTGGGTAGAGAAATGGGCTGTACAGACACTGCCTAAACCGCAGCAGCAACAGCAGCAACAGCAGCAGCAGGAAGAGCAGCAGGAGCAGCGAGTGCTGGAGTTCGGCCAAAGCCAAGGAAGGAATTACCAAACCAACGAGCGGTCAGCATCTGGCCCTAAGCCTACACTCTCAACCCTAAACCTTAAACCCATGGCAGCAGTCTAGAAGTCCCTCAGCCAGCTGGTGTTAGCACGGTTAGGGGCTTACTTTTGAACGTTTAGGGTTTAGGGTTTAGGCTTTAGGGTTTAAGGGCTAAGGTTTAGGGTTTGTGGTTGGGGGGGTTGGCTCAGGTGGATATCGCGTTGGCAGGAAACGGAACGCGAGCGAAGAATGGAGAAGGTGGTTCAGGAACTGCAACAGCAGGAGGAGCAGCAGCAGGAGCATCAGCAGCAGGAGCAGCAGCAACAGCAGGAAGTGCTGCAGGAGTGGGAGGAGGAGGAGACAGAAGACAAAATCAATGGCATCTTAAAAATAAGCAAAAGAGGGACAGACAGCAGGAGTGGGGAAGGAAGAAATTGGAGTCTCCGTCTCCTGAAGCGCAAGCATCAAGCAGCAGCAACAGCAGCAACACGAGACACTGGAGAGGCGATGGATGATGGTGCACAGGGGACAGGCGAGGATCTGCTTGCAGAGTCGTCTGTTTTGCTGCCAGCAGCAGCAGCAGCAACAGCAGCAGAAGCAGCAGCAAACTTGCAACCAGGGCATGAGCTTGAGGTATTTGAGGAGACACGTGGAATGGAGACAAGGGGACGACTGCAGCACAGGAGGACAGACGGCAGGCTTGTCTTCGAAGCAACCTGGAGAGAAGTGGCAGCAGCAGCAACGGCAACAGAGACAGAAGCAACAACAGCAGCAGCTAAAGAGGTGCAGCAGGAGTGTATGTGGATAGACGAAGACGGCACAAAGAGAGGCTTGAAAAAGGGCAGAGATAAAGAGTAATGCTGCTGCTGCTCCTGCAGTTTTTGCTCCTGCTGCTGCTGCTGGACTCGCGGCTGTTACTGCAGTATTCATTGTTACTGCTGCTGTTGCTGCACTTTCTCTTGCTGCTGTTAGTGCGGCAATTGCTGCTGCCGTTGTTGCTGCTGAGCTTGACGCTGTTGCCGATGCTGAGGCTGCTGTGGCTGTTGCACGAGAGCACCAGCTGTTGCTGCTTCTGCAGTGGCCTCGAATGTTACGAAGCAGCTGCTGCAAAGCTGCTGCTGCTGTTGCTGCTGTTGCTGTGCCTTTAGTCTGTGCTTCGGTTGCAGCTAATCACTACTAGTGTAATATTTTAAGCCCTGCTGCTGCTGCTTTTGCTCCTGGTTCTGTTGCTGTTTTTGTTGCTGCAGTGTACGTGTACTATGATCTCTGTTTTTCTAAGGGTTTGTTTATTTGCTGCAGCGGGGGGTCTTGGGAGGAAGAATGGAAAGAAAATTGCGACGGCACTCGCGAGAGCATAAAAAGGAGACAAATGCAGCACGGAGAATGGGAGGAGACAACAGGAGTTAGAAGAGCAGCACAAGGAGACAACCAGCAACATCTCGAAGAATTCTCCAACCGGTAGGCCCTCTGCAAGGATTAGGGTTTAGGGTTTAGGGTCTGGGGTTTAGGTTGCTGCATTCACATTTTTCCGGCGAGTGAGGTAATGAGCAAGAGGCCGCTTGCGCCTGAGTTGGGTGTTTGGTGTATCAGATTTAGGGTTTAGGGTTTAGGGTTTGGGGTTTGTGCTTGACAGAGTGGAGAGAACATATGGGGATGGTCACATAGTGGAGAGTACAGACAGCTGGTTGAGACCCCTCGATGGCAGCGGCGCAGCAAGGGGGACTCAGAGACGGGAGACACAAACTTTTGATGGACACAAACTCACTTGCGTAGAGGTCTGCTGCTGCTGCTGGGGACGTTGCTGCTGTTGCTGGTGCTGCTGCTCGTGCTAGTGTTGGTGCTGCTCGTGCAGATGCTGGTGGTGGTGGTGGTGCTGCTGCTGCTTGTGGTATTCGGGGTTGCCTGTGCTTTTGGATTTTCCGTGTTCCAGCTGCTAATGCTGCTTTTGTTGCTGTTGGCTCTGTTACTGGTAAGGGGCTTACTTTTTTCTAAAATGTTTTTTATTGTATTTTGCTTCAACAGGTGCAGCAGCAAGTATGGGAGGACAACGGAGATGAATTTAATTCGGACTTGTGGACAGAAGAAACTCACATCCAGCATCAAGGCAACAATGCCGTCGCACTCCACAAGGCAAGCAGCAGCAGGACCAACAGCAGCAGCAACGGAAGCAGCAATAGCAGTGGCGGCATCAGTGGTAGGATTTAGGGTTTAGGGGTTGAGGTGCGTACTTTGTGCAGAACCGATGGGGAAGGAAGAAGGGAAACCGCCGCACAGATGGAATGGAATGGGGAGAGCGTTGGGAAGAGGTAGAAGGCCTAGAAGACACAGCAGCACAGCAGCAGCAGCAGCAACAACAAGAACAGCAACACTTGAGGATACGCATACTTGTAAGTATTAAGAAGGCAACACCTGCCGTCTCGGAAAATACTGAATTTGCTTTCGTCATTGTTGCTTGCCGTCGTTGCTGCTGTCGCCGTTGCTGCTGATGTCTTGGTTGATCTTAGGCAGCTACTGGTGTTGTTGCTTGCTGTTTGTTACTGGCCAGCTGCCATAGCAGCTGTTGATGGAACATTCTGTCGAGCGTGCGCTCGGTGCTGCTGCTGCATTTGGTGTTGGTGGTGCTGCTGCTGTTGATGCTGCTGCCGTTGCTGCTGTCGCTGCAGTTACCAGGGGGAGAAGTGACGACGCGGCAAGTTTTGCTGCTGCAGCAGCAGCCGATGCAAATCAAAAGGCGGTATGAAGATAAGTGGTGGATTGAAGCCAGTGGGAACTCCTGGGGCCACAAAGAGTGAGCTTTAGACCCTAAACACTAAAGGACAACCCCTAAAAAAACCTCCAAAACCCGCCAGACATATAGTCTAACCCCTCCGTTCTAAATCCGAAACTTTAGGGGTCATTCTTGACCGCAAACCGTCTAAGCATCCACAAACCGTCGTTTTCACTCCTAAACCTTTTATGCACCCTACACCGTAAACCCTTGGTTCCCCATCCCGAAAACCTAAACCCTCGTCTGGTCCTGCAGAGGGTTTGATGAGGATGGAGCTAAGCTGAGGGAGAAATGGTATGACAACGGAAACGAGAAGGAAGTCGATAGATGGAAAGAAATGCCAGATGGAGCGATGGAAGGTACGATAACAAACCATAAACTCTAACCCCTTGAAACAAGTCCCAAGGCATGCAGACGAACACTAAACCCTGAACTATATGTACATTTATAGTGCGTATAATGCTGTATAATCATGCAAGCCAATGCACAGGCGTAAATATAGACGAATATATATATATATATATATATATAT